TGGGGCACTTTAAGAAGCGCCAATGCCTGCATCCACCCCCACAATTCTGGTTTAATTGGCGGGAATGCAGTCATTTTAAAAGCACAGCCCTCTCCCCCATGACTTTAATACGCGGCAAAGGCTTGAGAACAACTCATTCATTTAAAAATCTGTCTTTGAGTGTCTACTATGTGCCAGGTGCTATGCTGGGCTCCAAGCTGAACTAGAGTCTGGACCTCTACTTGCATGGAGCTTGCATCCTGGTGGGGAGTGACAAAGGAGGCAAGGAAATGGATAATTTTGATGGTAAGAGTAATGGGATAGACTGACTCGGGGAGGGGCCAAGAGGGGCAGAGAAGGCTTTCTGAGAAGGCAACATGTGCACAAATGAAGTGAAAGAAACAGAGATGCGTTATCTGGTGCAATGGTTCTCAGAGTGTTGTCTGGGGACTCGGGCCCCTTTCAGGGGATCTGCTGGTGAAAACGTGGCATAACACTGACACACTGTATGTTATTTCTACTCACGTTCTCTCATGAGTGTACAAGGGGGCTTTGCAACGCCCCATGACATGTAATGACATCATTGCTCTGACAGCTAATAGGACACGTGCTTGTGCGCTCGACTGTTTCAAAACATTCTTAGATTTAATTTCTAATAACCCACGTAACCCTCATAAACACAAACAGAAGCTCTTTGGGGGCCTCAATTTTTTTTTATGTCTTAATCCTTTTGATTTAACAAGTAAATTACTCCGTTTTTCTTTTAATTTTTTTTTAACTTACATTCAAATTAGTTAGCATATGGTGCAACAATGATTTCAGAAGTAGATTCTTTAGTGCCCCTTACCCATTTAGCCCATCCCCCCTCCCACAACCCCTCCAGTAACCCTCTGTTTGTTCTCCATATTTACGAATCTCTTCTGTTTGGTCCCCCTCTCTGTTTTTATATTATTTTTGCTTCCCTTCCCTTGTGTTCATCTGTTTTGTGTCTTAACGTCCTCATGTGAGTGAAGTCATATGATATTTGTCTTTCTCTGACTAATTTTGCTTAGCGTAATACCCTCTAGTTCCATCCACGTAGTTGCAAATGACAAGATTTCATATTCTTTGTGATTGCCGAGTAATACTCCATTGTATATATATACCACATCTTCTTTATCCATTCATCCGTCGGTGGATATTTGGGCTCTTTCCATACTTTGGCTATTGTTGATAGTGTTGCTATAAACATTGAGGTGCATGTGTCCCTTTGAAACAGCACACCTGTATCCCTTCGATAAATACCTAGTAGTGCAATCGCTGGGTCGTAGGGTAGTTCTATTTTTAATTTTTTGAGGAACGTTCATACTGTTTTCCAGAGTGGCTGCACCAGCTTGCATTCCCACCAGCAATGCAAAAGAGATCCTCTTTCTCCACATCCTCGCCAACATCTGTTGTTGCCTGAGTTGTTCGTGTTAGCCATTCTGACAGGTGTAAGGTGGTATCTCATTGTGGTTTTGATTTGTATTTCTTGGGGTCTTCAATTTTAAGAATGTAATGGTGCCGAGGCGCCTGGGTGGCTCAGTCAGTGAAGCGTCCGATTCTTGATTCCGGCTCAGGCCATGATCTCATGGTTCATGAGATCGAGCCCCATGAAGGCTCTGTGCTGACAGTGCGGAGCCCGCTTGGGATTTTCTCTCTCTCTCCCTCTCTCTCTCTGCCCATCCTCCAGAATAAAATAAACATTTAAAAAAATGTAATGGGGTCATGAGACCAAAAAGTTTGAAAACTGCTGATCTGATGGAAAAGTCTTCCAGAGGGTCCTGCGGTGGAAGCCAGCTTGGTATGTTCAGAAAGGAGCAGGAAGGCAAGGGGGGCAGAGTGGAGAGAGGTGTCAGTGGCAGATGAGGTGGGAGGGGAAGCCCAAGGCCAGGCATACGGGGACCTGGAAGAAGGGTCACCCCAGGCGGAGGAGGACAGAGAGGCTGTGAGATAGATGTGAGATAGAAGATCAAACCAGGGCTCCAGCAGTGGAGATGAAGAGAAGCCCATTCCAGAGAGGTTTGGAGGGTGGGGTCAACCAAGCTGGTAATAAATGTAGGGAATGAGGGACAATGGCTTCAAGTTGTTAGCCATACACCAAGGTCGGGGACACAGGAGCTGAATGAGTTTTGGGGTGGGTGGTGGGAGACAGCATATGAGTAGTGTCAGGGGTGGGGGGATGCCCAGCCCATTTCTGGACAGATAGGTTTGGACATCATCAGAGGAGTCCGCACTAGAGTGATAAAGCTTTGGGAGAATGTGTGCAGAGAGAAGAAGAGGCATCCGAGGGACCTTGTTAGGGAATCTCACCCTGGACTACATGGCCCAAGTTGATGTCAGAGAGGGTCAGAGGAGAACCAGAAGGTCCTGGGGGCCAGGAGCCAAGGAAGGAGAGTTCCAAGAAGAAGGAAGGTCTAGGCTGGTAAGAGTGCGGAGGGGTTCTGTAGGGTAAGGACAGAACCACGCAGGCTGTGATCTCTGTAAGAAGAATTTCTTGGTGGGGAGAGGGGTGCCTGAGTGGCTCAGTTGGTTGGGCATCTGACTGGCTCAGGTCATGACCTCACAGCTTGTGAGTTCCAGCCCCTCGTTGAGCTCTGTGCTGACAGCTCAGAACCTGGAGCCTGCTTCGGATTCTGCGTCTCCCTTGCTCTCTGCTCTCCCTTTTCATGATCTGTCTCTCTCTCTCTCTCTCTCTTAAAAATAAAAAAAAACATTAAAAACAATTTTTTTTTAAGACGAGTTTCTTGGAGTGCCTGGGTGGCTCAGTCAGTTAAGCGTCCAACTTCGGCTCAGGTCATGATCTCACGGTTTGTGAGTTCGAGCCCTGAGTCGGGCTCTGGGCTGACAGCTCAGAGCCTGGAGCCCGCTTCGGATTCTGTGTCTCCCTCTCTCTCTGGCCCTCCCCCCGCTCATGCTCTGTCTCTGTCTCAAAAATAAATAAAACATTAATAAAAAAGATGAGTTTCTTGGGCTGTAGGGGAGCTAGCTTGCATGGACTGAGGGGTGACATGGGATGAGGCCACGGAGTGAAGAGTGCAGACTTTCAAGAGGGAAAGTAAGACAATAGCTTGCAGGAGATGTAGAGGCTCTGTTAGAATGGAGGGGACAGGAACTGTTTGTGTAGGTGAGAGGGGATGGTTGGTGGCACCGAGTCCCAGGGCACAGGTGGAGAGGCTGGCTCAGGCCCGGGCAGGGAAGGACACAAGCAGTCCCAATGGGTGTGGGGGGAGGGAGGAAAGGGAAGGAGCATCATCTGGGTGGCAGGTAGGAGGCAAGGTGGTTTGCTATGGGGCACCAGCCAGCGGGGGCTTGAAGAGAGAGGGAAGGTTTGGACGGCTGCCAAGGAGGCTACGTGAGGAAGTTTCAGGGCTCACAGAAAGCCTGGCTTGGGATTCTTCTGCCCCCCACCCCCACCCCCCTCCACCCACAGTGGACCCAGGGGCTCAGAGGACACCACAGACTGGCTTGAAGAAGGACTTCCCTTCAAAGAGCTCCTCATAGCTTCCCCTAGAACTTCCCACTTACCCTCTCCATATTGGGAGGAAATGGACGGAAGAGAGGTAGGAATTAACATCTCACTTGATGTGGGGAAATAGAGGCCGAGGGAAGGGAAGGCTTCACAAAACTGAACGCAGCCAGGACCATAATGCAGCTGTTGTTTCCCTGAGTTGGGGCCCGTGGGGTCGTGCCTTCAGCAGAACCCTCCTCTTCCTCCCCGCCAGGGCTCCCTCCCAGGCTTATCCACCTTGACTCCTCTTCTTTCCTGCCTCCTCGTTCCCCTCCCCCATCCCCCTCCAGGTGAGGTGGCCCTGTCCACCCCTCTCACAAATCTGTCCTTCCCTTTTCCTGCTGCCGGGACTGTTGCTGCCTCTGCCCCCAGTCTCCCCCCTTCCAGTCCACCCTCTGCCAAGAGGGTTGCTGCAAAGTAGAGCTCTAACTATGTGGTCCTCTTACTTGTGAAGTCTTTCAAAGATTCCCAGAGTGTCCAGGTAGAGACCCAAACTCTTCATGGAACGAGCAGGATATTCACAGCCTCTCCTTAGCCTGCTGACCCCGCTCTTCATCTCCCAGCATACTGCTCAGGTCTCCCCTGCCCCCATCCCTTTGTCCGCAGGCTTCTGCCCAGAAGTCCTTGTCCCTGTATCCACCCAGGGTCGTTCTTTTTGCTTGCGGTTGAAACATCACCTCCTTTGTGAAGTCTGCCTTGATTACCCAGGCCGAGTCGCCTCCCTCATCTGAGGCTTCCCAGTACCTCATACTCCGGGAGAACAGCCCATCCCGTTCTATGGTGACCAGCTATTTTTATACATCGATCTCCTTCCCCTGGACTGTGAGCTCCTCCAGAGCAGTGGCCAGGCTCGGTCCTCTGTCATGTCCCAGCAAGGAACAGAATCGGGAGCCTCATGGGTGCTGAAAATGGGGGAAGAATCAATCAGTGTTCTCATGGATCTCGTGTCATCAGTGTGGGAAGCACTGCTATAGCTTGTTATCTGGTTTTGTACAATCCAAAAGTGCATAGGGACTCCAAGACCCAGGGAAGGGGCTTTGCAGCGCGTGGAGGAGGACTCAGGCCCCCCGGGAGCAAGAGCGTGTACAGAGGACCATGGCACCTTGCTTCCAGGTGCCCCTGCAGAAGCCCTCCATGAAGCCATTAGCCAGCACCACGGCGGAGTCACCCCCTGCCGGCTGGGCCTCTGGACAACACAGACCCTAGAAGCGCTGATGGCCAGGAGGCCCGAACGAGGTAGCAATCACTCATCAGTTCAGGCTGGCACAAGTCTGCCCTGTCCGGCGGCAGGGGGCTGCATGGAATGGACCCGGCTCCGAGAAGCCTTGGCTCCCCGAGCCTGCGTGACAGCCCAGACAGTTAAAATGGTTGTGCGCAGTCACATCTGCAGGTAATTTCTGCATCCATCTGCACTGGAATGGATCTCAGTCAATTAATTAGAACAACACCCTCTGTCCCAGCGCCATCTCTCAGGAGGGGGGCGGGGTGCCCCGTGTCCCCTGGAGAGCACGTTGCTCAGGCTCTGTGTTGGAACCCACCGTCTCCTAGTGGTCTCTAATTGCATTAGGGGGAACCATGAGGTCAGCCGGCATGCTCGTTCCGGTCGGCCTGGCCCCCAGCCGCCTGGGTGCGTGCGCAAGGAGCTCCCAGGCCGTGCTGCCTGACATTTGCAATCGTTTAATGGGAACAAGTTCCATCTTTGAGCTCTGCGCAGCCTTTCATACAGCAGCCAAACTGTCCGCCCTAGACGGGACATAAATCCTGCTGGCGAGTCACTGGGCCAGTTCTCCTCCTGGAGCTGCTTCATTCCCAAAGCTGGCCAGGGGCAGCTCTTCGCACCCCGGTTTGAGAAAGACCCCAGGGAACTGATGGGGTGCAGAGGAGAGAGCACTGTACTGCGAGGCAAGGAGCATCATTCCAGGCTGGGTAAGCCACTTCACTCTCCGAGCTTTAGATGATACCTGCTTCTCTTAATTGGTCTAACAACTAAAGGCCCCAACTATGCCTGACACCCTGCAGAACACAGAAAGTGCTTCTTTCCACATGTACTAGCTGCATGACCTTGGGTGAGATACACAGCTTCTCTGCGCTTCCGTGACCTCATTTGCAAAAATGAGACCGTGATGGAGTGCATCATCCACGGCGGTTGTGAGGCTGGATGTGAGCATGAATGGGGTGTGATCAGAGCGGTGCCTGGCACATAGAAAGCACTCAGCACACGTCACTATACTCTTAGCACAGCTGTCTTTGGTTTTACTCCTTTGTAGGACACAGTTATAGGAGAAAGACCTGGTAAACACATTTCTTGGGATGTCTTGGAGGTTAATTCTCTCCTGGTGGGATCCTGAGCTGAGACGAGTTGCAGGTTTGGAGGAGAAAGGAGGCCAGTGGGAGGGGAGGACTGAGTTCCAGACTGACCGAATGTCTTATTCATTTAACAAAAATTGATTGAGGTCCTAGTGTGTGCCAAGCGCGAGGCTCAAAATGTACAGTTGATAGGGATGTCTATCCAGGATACTGTCACTCATGTGATCTGGTGATTTCATTTTCCTCTTTGCTGGGCTATCCATTTTCTGCAAATCACCCATGAAAGGGAAAGGCTCCCTGACACGAGCCCAGCTGAGGTTCTGGGTGCATCTCACTGGGGCACAGGTCCCAGGCCCACATAGTTCTAGGATCTTCCTCTGTTCGGGGCTTTCCTTCTTTTTCTGGTCCAAGCCCTCTTCCTCCAGGAAGTCCTCCGAGTTCCCCTCTTGACTGGCTCACGTGTCCTGTCATCAGCTCCCCATTCTCTATCACTAACAACGTATACCTTGACGTTGCCCAGTTCCTTGTCCATGACCTCGGGTGGGTCGGCACTGTGTCTCTTGTTGTCTACTCTTGTCCAGAACCCAGTAGATGTCCAGCACAGAGTAGGTGCTCCACAAATATTATTTGTCAAACAAACGAGTGAAACACGGACTTTGGGCCTGTGACCAGGTGTAGGACTGGGGCCCTTGAGAGGTAACCAACCTCCACCTTGGACAGTCCCTCAGGCTTCCCCCACACCCAGCCAGTATGGACTATCTCCAGGGCCAATGATCTCGCCCTCTTCCTCTGGTTTCTGTTCTGGTTTCGAAGTCCCTATTGGTCAGGAAGTTCTTCCCGATGTCTGCCTAAATCTCCAGGAATAACTTAAGCCTGTTGTCCCACAGCCAGGCAGCATGGGGGCAGATGGGTGTCCTCCCTGAACACCTCTCCCTGCTTCCCTGAGGGAAAGACTGCGCCAGGGACCAGAACAGGAAAGCGAGTGGGGGTGAGGGACAGGTTGGAAGTGGAACTTTCAAATGTCAAGCCCATGTTCCCGAGGAAATAGAACGTAGTTGTGGTAAGTGGGGCTTGGCAAAGCAGAGCTGTGTATGACCAGAACCTTAAGAGCTTCCCTGGTGGAGAGGCACCCATGATGGAGGGGGGTGATCTCTCAAGCCATGGGCAGCCAGGCCTCCCCGAAGCATGGCAAGTGCTTGCTAAGTGCATGTCCTGAGGCAGCGGGAATCCTGGAATGCCTACCAGGTGGTAGTGGAGGAAGCAGTGGGGTGGAAGTCTCCAGAACCTTCGCCTCCCAGGCTGGCGTCGAAAAGAGAAATGCAGCCTGACCTGGACAGAGGACCCCAGAACCCGGGCCAGGACTACTCACCCCCCGGCAGCCCAGCAAGAAGGGCAGGCCCTGTGCTGGCCCAGAGAGATGATGAAACGGATTTACAGGGGCCCAGGAAACCGCAACCCACACTCTCCTCCCCACTTCCTCGCTCCTTAAAGTGATGTTTTCAGTCTCCCAAATTCATGCTGGTGATTCCAGCAGGGTCGTGGTGGGACAGCCCTGGACCAGGAGGCAAGGAACTTGCAGTCAGGACCCAGTGTGTGTAACCTTGGGCAAGTCTCTTCTCTCTGAGCCCTGAGTTATTTCTGCCATACGGAGTGGGTGAGGGGCGAGACGATGAAGTGCTCCCTTGCTTTTTACAGGAGTAGGCACTTTGGCATTTGGAGAGAAATCCGAGGTAGAATGCCCAGAAGGAAAACAAACAAAAGTGGGGCTGCTCTGGTTGGGGTGGGGGAGGGCCTGGGGTCCCACCATGCCCTTGTGCCTCTGAGCATCTCTGCCAAATTCATGGCTAGAAGCCATGGGACTGCATGGTCTCTAAGACACTTGTTCTCAAGCTCAGTGGGGCTCCTAAGCAGGTTAGGACTGGGAGGTTCAAGGGCAATGCTAGAGCCCAGTTTAGTAGTGGAGACAGAGGATGCTAGGCCCGCTGTGGCATGCTTGTGAAGAGGACATTTCTCAAACAGAACTAGGTTCCTGGGGATGTCCTGCTCCACCTGAAGGACCAAAATGAACCGCCTCCCTCCTGAAGCTGTGCACGGAGGCAGACCCAGACTTTCCTCGGGATGCCGTTGGGGACACACTGCCTAGAGGAGACTGATCTGATGACCTCTGGGGGCCTGCGCCTTGGGCAGGGACAGCAGGAAGCAGGCGTGGAGGAAAGCTCCGAGCACGAACCCCGACCCCGTCTAGAAGTGACTTGAGTCCTTGTGTCCAGACTTGCTCTCTCCTGGGGGAGCTAACTTTGAGAGCACCGGGCCAGCCCCTGCCTCCAGCTTTCTGCCCCGGAAACCCCCTCATTCCACGCTATCTGCTTAATCCCTGTTAACAGCAGGCTGACCTCCCGCCTCTGCGGCCTCACATTGAGCCTGCCCCAGTCTTCACAGGCCTCCTTCGAAAAATAAATAAATACTCTCTCCATTATCCCATTAGCAGCTTCACAGGTTTTTCTGATATTAGTTCCCAACTCCAGTGAAAGTGGAAACACGTGTCCTGAAAAACCTCTGCTCGCCCACCGGCCACGGGGGTGAGGCAGGCGGATGCTAAACTCCAGGCAGGAGTTGGGCCGGTCCACCTGCAGCTGCGCCCCCCCCCCCCCCACCCCCAGGAGAGAAGGCTTCAGAACCAGCTCAGCTTCCCTCAAGCTGGGCCAACCCCAGCATCTACTGGAGGCCTCCCCACTCCAGACTCAAGGAGCTGGAAGATGCAGCTTCCGCACACGGCTCCTTATTGGCTGTGTGTCTTCAGGCAAAGCTCTTTACCTCTCTGGGCCTCATGTTCTTTCTTAAAATGGAGATTGTAACTCCTATCTTGAAGGATTGGAGGACCAAAATAATCTGAGAGAACAAGGAAGGGTCTTAAAAGGCACAAAGTGCTTTGCCAGTGGGGGCAGGGTAGCTGGGAAATATTTTACTTTTCTGGCTTTTGCTTCTGCAGATTTAGAAAAGGAATCAGCCAGGCCTTCCCTCACCATGCTGTCTGACAGCCCAAGAGAGGGGCCTTTGGGAGCTCAGACACTCTGTGAGTTGGCCTGTCTGCCTTCCACTCGGTGCCCACCAAACTCCACTTATCACGGCCACAGCTCTCTGAGAAGGTTCTAGTATGCCAGACTGTTGGTTCCTTGAGGTGGGGCAGGGAGCTGCCCAGGGGCCTCATCAATACACATCGAAGGCCCCAGCACAGCGCAGAATCAGGCGGGGAGCTGGGGATGTGTTTGTTTCCCCACTCCATCCATCTCTTGGCCCTTTCTCCCTTCTGCCCATGGCCCCGGGCAAGGGGCCCAGGGAAAGGCAAGGCCAGCCCTTTGGTCCAGGTGTGCAGGGGTGTGGGCTGCTTCTGGCTGCCCACTGGGCACCAGAGACGCGAGCAGGCAGGCAGGCAGGCAGGCAGTTCTATTAGTCTGAGCAGAGCCTGTCAGCAGCCAGGATCTGTCAACAGTGCCTGTGAGGTCACTGCTCTGCCTCCCTGTTCCTAACGAAGTAGGACTAAGTCCCAGCTGAAGCCATCTCCAAAACCCTCTTGTCTCTTGGCTCCCATCCTCCTGCCCCTCCCGGTGCCTCCCAGAACCCAGTCCTGCTTCATTTCTGTGCAGGACTTTCTTCCAGCATGCCCAGGCCTCCGAGACAGCCATGCTCCAATCAATGCCATTCAATGCCAAGTTTGAAATGTGACTCTTCTTGATCGGCTGCGTGACGTTAGACAAGCGGCCTAACTTCTCCGCACCCCTGACTCTCTCAGCTTTAAAGTGCAGATGGCATGTGACATCGCCGCGACAGTCTGGTGAGATCAGGCGTTAACGCGGTACCTGGTGCTTTGCAAGCCGCCTGGAGAACAAACCGTTGTCAGTTCTCTCCCTCCATCCCTGGGAATCAGCACCAGGAACAGTAGAGCAAGCCAATGAGTGCGTGAAGGCATGCTCAGTCCTCGGCCCCACGCCCCAGCTCCCCCGCTTCTAGTTCCTGGCCAGGTGGGAGACCCTGTCAGCTTTGCCAAAGTGTGGTTTCCTGGCGGACGGGAAAGGCTGTCCAGACACCTGGGAGCAGCAGGATGAGTATGCCCGGACAGCCTCCCTGGGCAGACAGGACCCTGGAGCACATTCCTGGCTGGCGAGCCGAACTTGCCCACCTGTACCACCGCCCTTGGCTTCAGTGCTCCGTCTGATGAGTTGGCCTCATCTTACTAATCCCACTGCTCACTGTGGGTCCATGTCAGCTGCATGGCAGCGTCTGGCCTTCCTTTCCCTGAGATTGGACCAGGACAGTCTTCCACCGGTGACCCTTGGAGGGTGCGGGGAGGCTGGTGGACGCCTGTAACCTATCGTAGGCATCGTTGGTCCTCAAGGGGGCAGAAGGGAGGGCTGAGCCTTCTCTCTCCTAGGATCTTGGGCTCTCTCCCGCTGGGGGCTAGAGAGTCCAGGGAGGGTCTTGGAGTCAGCTGAACACTTTGGCATCAGGTCCCTCATAGGCTGGGGTGGGGGTGGGCAGGCCCAGCCCCCTCTTGCCAGACATTGGTGGGGGGCTGGGCACGGCCTTGTGGGGAGCTGGCCTGGACACGGCAGGGGGGGCTGGACCGCCTGACCTCCTGTGCGTCCAGAGGCTACAATTCATGAGTGATTCTCCCCTCTGAGCAGCTCTCCTGGGAAAGCAGGCAGGTCTGGGTCAAGGGGAGGGAGTCTGGTATGGACCATATTCAGGGGCGGATTAGCTGGGGGAACTGCTCCCACCAGCAGGGAGGGGAGAGATAAAGCCTGTGAGCTGGAGAAGGGGGCCCAGCCCGGAGACATTCCCTCCCCTGACCCCAGGCCCGTGCAGAGCTGATGTCTGTGGTGGGGGAGGGGGCCGCCCCCTTTCCCAGGGTACTGGCCGGGGGAGCCCAGCACTTTCTCAGGCCCTTTATTAAATTTCTCAGGAGCAAGAGGGGAGGTTATCCCTCCCCTTCTTCCCTGAACTCCCCTCCTTTTGTCTCCCTCCCCAGGAGGGTCGGAAAGGAGCTTTTCTCATTATTGTGGTTATTAAAAAGTAAATGAGCCAGAGACACACACACACAGAGACAGAGACAGAGACAGAGGCAAGCAAAGAGAGACAAAGAAAGGCCGGCAGATAGAAGAGGGAGCTGGGAAGACAGAGACCGAGGGAGGTAGACACAGAGACTCTGAGAGACAGAGAGAAATAGATGGCCGACGATTCATCCGGGGCACCTTGGTGAACTGGCAAAAATGGAGGCTTTGCACTTTCAACCTCTTTTAAAAGGCCCACCTGGTATGCAGTCGTGTGGCCTTGCTTTGTTTAGTATATGTGCTGCCGAAGCGAGCACTGGCCAAGCTCCTTCGTCTACTTGAGTCTCAGTTTCCTCATCTGCAAAATGGAAAGGATAATTCTTACTTTGTAGCATCACTGTGAAGTAGAGAAACACATCTGTACTGAGTGCAAAGCCTGGAAGTTCAGAGGCGCTCAAAATATGGCTTTAAATGCACGGTATATGCTACCCGTGTATATAGGGCATGGGGGCCGTGGCAGCAGGCACTCAGCGGTGCCTTGGGAAGGCGAGGGCAGAAGCCCCTCCCTGGGGAAGGCCTGTTTTGGGGGCTCGGTACCCCCTCCTTGCTCCTCACCTCACTTCTGTGAGTCAGTTCTTGGCTACTGAGTGGAAAGAGTAAACTGGACTCGGGATGTCCACCTCCGGTTGTTTGTTCATTTTTTGTTTTCGTTTTTAATTTTTGAGAGACAGAGACAGAGACAGAGTGTGAGCAGGGGAGGGGCAGAGACAGAGAGAGAGACAGAATGCAAAGCAGGCTCCAGGCTCCAAGCTGTCAGCACAGAGCCTGATGCAGGGCTCGAACCCACAAACCTCGAGATCATGACCTGAGCTGAAGTCGGACGCTCAACCGACTGAGCTACCCAGGCGCCCCTGTTCGTTTGGTTTTTATCTCCCAGATTGAAGGACTGCAATACTGGGCTTTGGAAGCAAACAACCCTGGCATTGAATTCCAGAAATTTCCTGTGAATTTTTTTAAGCACAAAAAGACTAATAATGTTCGTCTTGTATGTTTTTTTAAATAGCTTTCTCGAGGTATAACCCTCACTCATAAAACCCACTCACCTGGAGTGTATAATCCAGTGATCTTTAGTGAACATACAGAGCCGTGCTCATCACCCCTGTCCAATTTTAGAGCATTCCCATCACCCCCCAAATGTCCCCTGTGCCCGTTTGAGGCCACTCCCTGTTCCCACCCTGCACCCCGGGTTCTGTCTCTATGGGTTTGCATTTTCTGGACATTTCCTATCAACGGAGTCACACAACATGTGGGATTTGGCGTCTGACTTCTCTCACTTGGCATCACGTTTTGAGGCTCACCCATGTTGGAGATGTAGCAGCACGTAATGGCTTTTTATTGCTGAGTCCTATTGTTTCCAGGCGGGCCACGTGTTGTCTGTCCATTCACCAGTTGATGGACATTCGGGTTGTTTGTACGGTGTTTCAAGGGTTAAATAAGATCCTGTCTATCGAGTGATTGGATCAGTAAATCACAGAGAATTTTAAATAGATTAAGAGAGAGAGAGAACTTTCTCTGCAGGCTGACCCAGCGCCAGGCACCATCAGGAGCCCTTTACGGTAATTTAGTTCTCCCGTCGCCACTCTGGTGTAGGTAGTACTGTGATCCTCTCTGCTTTACAGCGGAGGAATTCCCGGCCTCCGGAGGGGACTGGCTTGTCCCCGGTCACACCTGCTAATCGTGGAGCAGGGACCGAGCCTGGCACCTGGCCCCAGCCCTGCGCTCTGTCCTGCACACCCTATGGTACAGGTGCTGGGACCTGCACACCACCCTGGGGGAGTCTGAGGGGCAGAGCAGGATTTCCCATAGGCCTCTCATCTGAACACCCAAGACTGGCCTCCACCCACATTAGCTAAAAAAAGACCCCCTTCCCTGCATTCCCACCCCCAGAGTCTCCAAGTGCCCAGCGCCTACCGTGTCAGGCACTGCTTCACAGTTGTTGAGTTAATGATCTACTTTAATCCCCGGGCAACCCCTGGGCATGGAGGTGTTGGCACGAAGGCTCAGAAAGGTCCAGAAACATGCCCCGGGGATCACACAGCTCATGTGCAAGTGGTGGAGCCTGAATTCCAGTGTATACATCTGTTTGACTCCAAAGGCCATTCTCCCTCTCTCTCCTTCTGCTCCCCCCTCCCTCACAGAGGCTGGAGCTCCACATCTGGCTCCCAAATGACCCCCCAGGAGGGAAGGCGAAGGCCTGGGGACCCTGTTGCAAGAGAAGGAGGGGAGAGGTGGGGGGCTGGAGGAGATGGGCAGAGGGCCTGGCTGGCCTCCTTCCCTCGGGCTTGGAGGCCCTCCCCAGGGCGGCAGGGCACTGAGCTGCCCTCTCCTCTCCTCCCAGCTTCTTCTGGGAGACAATGTGCTTCTCATTAGGCCGGCGTTGGGTTTTGCAAACCGCACGTCTAATTGTGAAGGTTTGAGGGTGTGAGTAACTGTGCA